TGATGAATAGTTTCATAATGATTGATCAGCCATTCACTTTTCTATGATTCCCTGCTAATGTGCATTTATTGTGCATACCTGTTTGATCGTTACGTTTGCGCTCATTTCTCTGATTCTCTGTGTGTCTGTGTATCTGTGTGCCGCATCGGCAGAAATAACTCCCACATTTTTGTCAACCTTCAAAATGTGGGAGGTATTTCTGCCGCACCCTGTATAAAGCAATCTAAGGATAAATCTTATAAAAATAAATTTATACTTTGTGCCCAGTTGAGAGTGCCATCCTCTACGCAACAGTTGAGGTGTTTGGGGGATTTTCTATCTGACTGCGTATATCGAACGGAATTGTGTATAAAAATACAAATTGGTGCAGTTTGTTTTCATATGCGTGTGTGTAGGCGCCTATATGACAATTTATAAGAGTGTATACATTCTATGTATTTTTATGTGAATTTGGGTATGTGACGTTAAGACTCTCTCTCTCCTTCCCTAGCCCTCCCTCCCTCTCTCTATCTCTCTCTCTCTCTCTCTCTCTGCATGTGGGGATGTGTGCTAATATCAGGCATCGAAACTTGATATGTACACCCTGGAGGAATTTGGGGACTAGGGAAGAGAATACTGGTGCCAACCACAATTAGGACAGAAAAAAAAACTATTATTCAGGATTTAGGTTTACTTCTGGAGAAGGCAAGTCGCAAGCACGTGTGGACAGATGCGCTTCCTTACGTACATCACAATTTTTCTTATATCTATCTATCTATCTATCTATCTATCTATCTATCTATCTATCACAATATGTTCTTATCCAGGTTTGTCCCTATCTATCTCTACTCTTCTGTTTTCTTTTTCTTTTCTTTTAAGTTCACTTTTCATTTTCGTTCTACTATTCTTTCTTTCTCTTTCTTTCTTTTTTCTTTCTTTCTTTCTTTCTTTCTTTCTTTTGTATAGTATACTTATTTATTTGTCATTGCAAAAATCTCAAAGAATATATCTTCCTTCACATGCGATTTTTCGAAGTATCTTTTGCCTTTTTTTCTGAACTTTTATCGTGAGAATTCAGCACTAATTTTGCCACTTCATCCTGCATTTTCTTTTTGGCTGGAGGGGGGAGCTTCTTCACTCTTTCTATTCCTTTCTTCTTCACTCGTGTCCATCACCGTCAGTCTCATCTCAAATGAAACCGAACCCTACCACTCCTCTTTTACTTTTCCAAATCCCCACTGTTCCTTCACCACTTCACCGATTCTTGCAATATCCAAACTCTCTCTCCCCACTTCCTCTCTCTCTCTCTCTCTTTAGCTCGCTTTCTCACGCACACTTACACGTACGCACACAGAGACACGCACTGTTTTCTTTCTCTCGTGCTTCTTTAAATCATCAAGTTTTCTCAAGCATAAAAAGAAAGCATGGCCAAAAGGGAGGGGCGCTCCATCCTCAAGTTAACCGTACGCCTTTAGGTCAGCGATCAGGTTGAGGTCACGTCACCACGACTTCACGTTAAGGGACCAACTTCCACTAAAGCTGACAAAGGGTTAGTGGGTTAGTGGGACTAGGTCACAAGCACGCGAACCCGTCACCTTAGAACCATATTTCCCCGATAACTTACTTCCCTATTTCTGGTCCATATTTGATTCTCCGCCTCTGGACTTGACATTAGAAGATAATGCTTGCGTGCGCATATGTTCCAGTTATAATACACATGTGTATATTATCATTTACACACGTGTGTATTATCATTTACACAAGTGTGTATTAACATTTACACACCAAATGTGATAAAAACAGTGTAAGGGCAAAGTCCTCTGGCCTACTTTTCTTAGGATTTTGATGGGCATATTTTCTGCTCCGGAAACGAAGAAGTGTGGGGAGAGGGGATAGGCTGAGAAGATTGGGAAGGGCAACATGGCGGAGGAAAAGCTGCTAAAGAAAAAACCGTGTCAAGTAAAAAGAATTGAGTAAAGAAACAAAAACTGAAAATATGTAATAAATATAAAAATAATAATAACAATAAAAGAGGAAAAAGGGGATAAAATAAACAAAACGTATATTAGATTTCAGCTGTATTTTCATTTTATACAAAAAATGCTTTCGCGATCACAAATCAATGTGTGTGTATATATATATATATATATATATATATATATATATATATATATATATATATATATAATTTGCTTAGCTATCATACTTGCGCCAATATCTATTGGAATGCGTAGCGATACTGATGTACGAACAAAATCTCATTGTGTATTTGAGTAACAATCCATCTTTTATACATGTTTCATTAAAGACGACTGACAAGGTTCTATGATTAAGCTTTGTCCAGCTTAATCTCAGTACCTTTCTGTCTTCTTTAATACATATTTACAGTGAGTAGCAAAAGTATTTAACACATCGGTTTTTTTTCAATTTGAATGATACTTACTTCAAATATTTTAATGAACATTGTCTAACTAAACAATGGAATATGGAGAAAATAAGAAAGAAATTCTGGTATTTTTATTTTTGTGTTGTTTGACTTTCATTGGTTAATCAGATTTCACGTACATTTAGCTTATTAAACAACGTTATTATAATTTATGACGTTCCGGATTCAAGGAGAGACGACGCATCTTTCAAAAGTTCCGAGAAATTAATGCTTATTAAAGAAATCTTAATAGAGAAAATGTGCTCTTCAGCAGGGATATAACCTGCGTCATAGAGCCTTGCCGAACTATGACAATCTCGGTACCTAAGTGGTAAAGCCCAACATGTCAAACGGTGGTTTCATCTGCAAAGGGGAACGTAGATTCGATCCCTGCAAGAGAACACATTTTCAGATTTCTCGAATCGAATGCTCAGGTCGATAGACATAGTAAAGACTGTTTAAAATAAAAATAGTTTGTCTATTTCAAATACGAGTATACACAATAATAACGTCTGAAGTAATATATATACTTCATTTTTCTTTTCACTGCATATATATATATATATATATATATATATATATATATATATATATATATATATATATATATATTACTTTCCTTTTTTTTTTTACTTCATTTTTCTTTCTATTTCTCTTTTCCACATCATCTAAACCTTTTTTCTTAGTCGAATGTCCATTACCATCGAATTAATTCTTCTTCTTCAAGGAAAGAATATCAGATCTATTCTTGGAGCACAATCGATACAGAATTTTCTCATGTTTCGGGATTTTTATTTCTGTTAAGTGATTAAAGGCAACCGTTATCTATGCTCGGTAGATTCTAAATCCCCCAACCGCCGATAATGAAATCTGTGGATAATAATATATTGAGAACCATTGGTTATGTCAGAAATATTTTCACCAGAAAACTATTGATTATTTTAAAAACGAAATTAAAATTTACAGATGTCTCCCTTTCTAATTTTTTTTTCTTAAAAGAAAAAGTTTAAACATTTTGTTTAAAAAAATCATTAATTATAACGTAAAATATAAAACAATAATTACTTAAATTGGCAATGTTATAATATACACAATAAACCCACTGGATAACAGAGTAGGCGCAACTCTCCAGGGTGTCTCAGATGATTCATGGAGAGAAGTTTAAGAAACGTAATGTAAAAATGAAATGAATTATATAAAAACATTTTACTAGTCAAGAAACATTTTCTTTATTTGAGCTTTTCCGCTCCGAATCTGATGGCAAAAATCTTGATGCCATTGAATACATTTAAATTGATTTTTTTTTTCAAAATATTATTCTTATAAAAGTCATATTATTTCTCTGTTTTTTGTTTTTTTTTATTTATTTATTTTGTTCTGAAACTAGTTTTCGAAGTCGTTCATTCAGGAGGACAGGAGATAGTATTGCATTTAAATTTTTGGAGATTAAAGTTGGCTGGAAAGCATGGAGACGAAAGGGAGTTCCACAAGTGAGAAATGCGAGAAAAGAAACTGTTAGCATAGAACTTACGGCTACATCTAACCAACTCAACTGTAAATTGATGAGATCTCGACGCCAGTTTAGTGCTCCGCTTAAATTTTTTTTAAATTCTAGGTACCTTAGTGAAGAGCTCATACGAAAAATTACCATGAAAACGGTGGGAAAGTGACTGAAGCCAAGTCGCCAGGTCAGGACCAATGTTATTGCTGATTCTTCTTTCGATTTTATCAAGGAGATCTAGATAAATAGCAGGAGCACTAGATCATATGTGGCAGCAATATTCTAAGCATGGATGAATGGTAGATTGATAAATATATATGATATATTCTGGAGAGAAAAATTGCCTGAACCAACTTTCTTAACAGCTGGCCTAGCAATGGATTCAAAATAGTCTTTCCACTTCATATCAAGTGAGAAAGTTAGCTCGAGAAAGCGCAACGAGTTACTTTCCTGGGGATCAGCATCAGCCATGGAAGGCAAAGAAGGGTGTCTCAGATGATTCATGGAGAGAAGTTTATTTTTGGAGGTGTTAAAATTAACAAGCCATTTTTTACCCCAGTTAACAACGGACTGGAAGTCGTTTTCACAATTTTTTGCCCAGTTACTTCATCGAATGTGTGTCTTTGAAGTTCATTTTATTCGGACATTTATTAGTTTTCTTCGCTAAATCTGGGGGAAATCTATTAAATAAACGAAATACATCTTTTTATATATTTGTCACTTTTCTTTGGTAAGAAATAAAACGTTTACTCTGTTCACAAATTGATGTCTATAACTTTAAGAAAAAAAACTAGGATTTAAGTAATATATAGAGAATATTAATTACATTGTAGATGGCAGACTATCTTCGACTTTCAATGTATTCAAGAATGGCAATCAGCACTAACTCCTAAAACGGTAGAAGCCATGTTAATTCCGTGAAAGGCGCATTTTCCTTGATTTTCTACGGAATAAGAATTATTATTTTTCATCAGAATTGTTTTTAATAGAAATTTAATTCAAATGCTTTCTTACATGAAAACCTAACGTTTCTTTGTCTTTTTTTAACAGATGAAACCGGAATACTTCGAAGTGGATTGGAATCTGCCGATTGACATGAACTGGACACTAGAATATTTGGTTGAAGAGACTGAAGTGACTGTCGATATTGGCGTTGCTGTTGGCTCCTTCATCTTGTCCGCTTGTGTGGTCTTATTTAATGGACTTCTTTTGTTGAGCGTCTTACTTCACTGCACAAAGACCAAAGTGACCACAATCAAGCTTCTGATCATCAATAGTGCGGCCGCTGATCTTCTTCAAGGAGCCCTCATCAATCCTTTTCATGGTTACCAAGCATTTTCCGAGTGGAAACTTTCTAGAATGTGGTGCGAAGCTTGGTCAACACTTGAACCAACTATCTTTGTGATTTCTACCTTGAGTCTTTTCTCTATTAACATTGATCGCCTCATCTATGTCACGAATCCAGAGAAGTATTCCAAATGCTTGCAGATCAAATTGACTGCTCTCTTGATTGCCATACCGTGGATCATGGGCAGTTTGATCATTCCACCGTTGTATGTACTTGGTGAAGATACGAGCTTTTTAAAACCACCCAAGGCGCCGCTCTGTGTACTTATTCCCAAACAACCAGTGATTAGAACAATTTTTACTCTCTGTTCGATAATCGGTACAGCCATTTTGATAATATTCCTCGTTATTTTTTGTATGGTATTTCGTTCGCCAGGCATTCGATCCTATGGTCTGGTGAAAGATACCGACAGTACATCTATCCGTAACAAAATCCTGGCTCTTTGCACTGTAAATTCTTTCTTCTTCTTGCTTCGATTCCCTTGGATCTACAGTCCGCATGTAATTCATGTCGTATGTGAAAATATGGTGTGCGACAAACATAAATTAGACATTGCTCATGCAGTTCTCATGTGGATATCGCACTGTGGCTTTTCAGTCAATCCGTTTGCATGGATGGTGGATAGAGACATACGAGCCGCTTATTCCGATCTATTTCTCTGCAAAGCGTGCCTTCCACGGAATACGACTAGCCGATGCGATCAGCTACACCCAACAAGAAGCTGTAAGAACGACTCAATGGCGATTTCCACTTGTCGTTATACTCAATCTGTATTGCTGAATATTGAAAATAGCCCCAGCTCGTCTAATGGCGAGGGTATTGATGTTGATCAACTCAAAGAAGTGTATGAGATGACCAATTGAAAGTTGAAGTGATTATTGCAACTTGGTGATGATGATGATGACGACGACGATGGTGATGATTACGATGATGGTGATGGTGATGCTTATTTCACAGTCGCACATAAACACACACACACACACACACACACAGCCAGTGCCTATGGATGTCTACAAAGATAAAAGGAAATAAAGAAAAGGTAAGACGGGAAGAGAAAAGAAGCAAAACAGCAATAGCACTATTAGAACACTATACAAACAGTACACAACGAGATTGGAATGTAATTATGAATCAATATTACTTATTCCATACTGTTGTAACGGGTCATGTGACTGGCTAACAGAGTGTTACATCCTGATTGGCTGCTTGTAAGCGTCTTCTGCTCCCAAGATTTCTGGCTAATAGCAAGTGATAACGGATCTCGCATTATTTCCAACGCGCGCTATCCGACCGAAAGGTGTGAGGCGATAAATTGTGAAAGAAGTCGACATACAACGAATTAATTCTAACAAACAACGAAGGTGACATATTCGCGCTTCTCCCGTCGTTGAGGGTTAATGCTCTAAGATGGGAACTTTTTCAATTTATGTTCGCCATTCAGGTAATTTTATTTCATTTGAAACTGGCCGTTTTCATTGACATTAAATAATCAATGCTTACCTTTTTCTTGAACTGAAAAAATATCACCAGTTACAAAGACAAACAAAAGAATGGAACAAAACGGTTGCTTCATTAGAGTGTACAAACGATAAAAAATATGTTTAGGATCATATTTTAACTTGATAGCCAATTATGCTCGAATTCACTTGTTCGAAGGACACACATATCGAACGCGTGCAAACACACACTGATACACACGCACACTGACACACACACACACACAGGCAAAGCACACACATAAGAAAATTAAACAGTTGCAAACTAATAAAACCAACGGGTAACATCGTTAGGAAGCCATTAATTGTTCCGTTCTCTTACAACAGTATTCGTGTGATTACTAAAACTTTCAAGATATTACAAACGAAAGAGGACAAGCATAGACATTAACAAATATATGACTTTTCTCCTGTTGAAAATTACAATTTATTGACACCAAACAAACGGAAGTTTGGTTCGCTTTTATATTTAATGCTGAAAAACCACCATTTTTAATAACCACATTTATTTTGAAGTCCCTGATTTAATGTGACGTCATTGTCAACATTAAATCATACAAAGAACAAAGAGGATTTTTCTCTAGCAGTAATAGGCTTACCAATTTATTATTATTATTATTATTATTATTAAGAAGCATAAAATTTAATTTTTATTTAAAAATGATATCAATTTGAATTGGATCTATGAAAACCGTCTAATTTAAAAAGTTTTAAAAGAACGATTTTTAAAAATTCTGTTTTGGAAAAATTCTTCAACTTCTTCTAATTATTATTATTATTATTATTATTTCACAAACCTTTTTTAATACTATTTTGTGAAGGATCGACACAGAGCATTTTAATGCTTGGTTATTTTGTTCTTATTAGAGATGTTTTTGTAGTGCATATGCAAACTTCACATATTTGACGGGAGGAGGTGTACACCATTTAATGATTGACCGAATGCTTACCGTTGCTCTCATTCATAAATTTTGCATCATTATTATTATTATTAGTAGTAGTAGTAGTAGTAGTAGTATCATTATTTCAAACAAAATTATTTTCATATAGATAAAAATCAAAGTCAGCTTATCTAATTTTATTTACACAATCGCTTTGTTTTTATTTTACCAATCAATAAATAGCATAAATTATTTTTCGTAAAAACTACAGATGACATGTAAGCATTCCATGAATTATTATTATTATTATTATTATTATTATTATTATTATTATTTACAAAGCCATAATCCATTTAATCTCTTATTAATCTGCAGTCATGTTACAATTAGTTTGCGTGCTGCATATTATTGAAACATATGATTTAGGCTTTTCCCCTGATAATGCCTAGATTTGGAATATTTTAAGAATTTACTTCTGACTCATTCTGAATGAACAGTTTGATTTTCAGAATAATTTTTATTCGTACTCCTTTAATAGCACCATCATTATGCTAAAGGTTTCGAAGAATTCTAATGGAGAACAGTTTTCATTCTTATGGCGCTAACAAATACTGTTGTTGCTTTTAGGACAACTCCATCCAGTTTATATCAACGGAGAACATTTGTATCACTGCTGTATTTGTAGATCCTACGACTATCCACTTAATTACTTTTTCTGACTTAATTTGAGAGCTTAAATATTAATTTCTTTTGTTAATGATTAGGAAACGGTAATTCTTCTAAAAATGTAATTCGATTTTAAAAGTAATTTACACGTAGAAATTATACGATTTTAACTATTTATGAGCGTTGAGTGCATTATTGCTTTGTTGGCGATTCATTCTGATGAATAATACCATAAAACTTCCATGGAAAAGTGGCCCATTGTCAGTATTAGAAGATATGTTAAGGTGTTTTTCTATTCCATTCATCAGAAACAAGTGAGTACATGATAAGTATACACTTTGAACTTTTATTTATTTATTTTTTTTTTTATTATAGTGAGGCTTCGGAGAATGTAAGTTTCTCTAATTTATTTTGCCCAAATCCTCAGGATTGGTTTTTAAGTATTTTTTTTTCTTTTTCAAATTTTGTGCACATACGCCCAAGCGTGTCTAATAAATTTATTGTTTCTTTATTGTAGTTGAAATATTAATTTTTCGAGTGTTTTTTTTTTTTTTTTTTTTTTTTAATGTTTATGTTTCAAAGTTAAAATGGTAGTTGCCGTTTCCTACCTCACAAAATAAAGGGAAAAAACATCCCAACCTTCGGTTTACTATTTTCTCAAAACTAGTGACATTCAGATGAAAAATAAATAAAAAATGGAGAAAATTAACATCCCAACAAATTCTCCCCTTGCACGCAAAACAAAGAAATCCTTGAAGATAGATCAAGAAACACGGACAAACTCTTTGCAAATTCCGTTAATTCTCTTTAAGACTTAAATAATTGAAGAATGGAAAAACCCAAAATAAAAATAAAATACAAAGAACTGGAGTCGGGAATGATTAAACACGTACACACGTGTGTGTGTGTGCGTGCGTGCGTGCATCATTTGTGATTCTCTGGGAAAGCTACAGAGATAAAGTTAATAACTCGGAAAAATCGTATTTACTACTCGGTTGTGATCAATGTCTGAAAATTCTATAATAAATGTAACGAGTTTAATGCAGACGATACAAAGAAATGAAGACTTGTGCTAGAAGAAGAGTAAAAGAAAAGATAGACCTTGAATAACAAGTCTTTATTGTTCGACAATTCATTTGTTTTCTTCATTAAATATCGAAAACTACAAGCACTTATAAGAAACTCAAAAAATAAATAAATTCTATGCTTATTTTAGGAAACAGAAGCAAGAAAATTATTTTGTGCATGTAAAATTTCCAGCGTTTTTTTTTTCTATCTTTTTTTTTTTTTTTTGCTTACAACAAAATTCGTTTTCTGTGTATTTACAGAAAAGCGGTCGCTTGGAATTTTTGCATATATCTAATGTTTTCAGCAATAATTATTAAAGAAATCAATTAATAAATTTAAAAAATAATAAAAGCCAAGAACAGCTTTCTATGTGGTGGAATCCAGAGAAAAATATGGACCATTCTAAATTTTATTTTTATTCATTAAACACTTCTTGGCTTTCGTAAAATAGAGAGGAAGTATTGAAATGCTTCGATTAATAAAGAATTGTTAACAGAAAGAAGAATCATTGATATCTATCTCTCTCTCTCTCTCTCTCTCTATATATATATATATATATATATATATATATATATATATATATATATATATATATATAATTTTCACCTGAACATGTATATATAAGATGACGTGCACAAATACGCACTTTGTAAGGTGTGATATAAAAATGTATATATCTGTTATTAATTGTCGCGAAGAAAGTATAATTTAAATTTTTTTCAAATTCAAGAATCTCTTGTTAGATTTTCAATGTTTGACATGCTTTGTTTATCTGAACAATGTAAAGACAAATTCCTGAAAATCAAAGACAAATTCCTGAAATGTTAAAAATTCGAAAAGGTGAACTTGTTTTAGTTTTCTTGTCTTCCCCTTTGTTTATAAGATTTTCGAAAAAACAGTTCTCTGTAAAAGATGAGCCCGATAAAATGCCATGAATAAGAGAAAAACATTTGCCTTTTCAAGTAACAAAATATTTCCATTGACATTTTTTGTTTAATTTGAGGTACTTACGTTTGAGTAATTCTATTTTGAAAGTAAAACTGTTAATTGTAATTCTTTCTGTATTCATACAGATAAGAGTAAGACTGTCCCCGAATTCTTTTGTAAAATCTATTGAGGAATTTCTAACTAGCATTCCAGAAATATTGCTCCATTCGCACACTTTAAATTGAATATTTGTGGCTCGAACCTTCCACTTACATTCATATATATGATGAACTGATGTGTTGTGTATGCGCACTTGTGTGTGTGTGTGTGTGTGTGTGTGTGTGTGTGTGTGTGTGTGTGTGTGTGTGTGCGTGTGCGCGCGCGCGCGCGCGTACGTTCGTGTGTGCGTGCCACGGTGTTTGACTATGGTTGTTTTTTTTAATGAAATCTGTTGATATGAGCGACAAATCATTCTTTTGATACATTTGGAAAAAACACTTAGAAAATTTTAAATAAGGGTAGATTTTCCGTATAATCATTTTATTTTAGTAAAAGAATATATTCTCTGGAAAGAATAATTTCGCTATTGAGCAGAAAAAGCGGTCAGATGAAATGGACGTATGGATGTGTCTAAGTAAGCAATGAGAAAATGTAAACTATATTTAAAAAATGAATTGAATTCAGCTCTCACTTGTGATTTGTTGTATTCATCTAACGCACACACTTAGTATATTCTCTAAAGTACATACTATCTTTAAAGCAAGCGTCAACTTAAATGAAGGTGCTTTTATATTTTGAAGAAGTAAATTTTTTTTTAGCTAAAAGAACGCTCGAAAGCGACGAAGCCATTACTTTTTATGGAACTCATTTCTTTGTTAATGGGCTTCGTCTGCCATTAAATGACAAATGAATGCTTAGCATCAAAAGATTTGCATGAAATGACTAGAAAAAGAAGGTTTTTAACACATCATCTCGAAATGAAGAAAAGATGAAAAGAGGGAAATGATGGGAAACTTTTATTGTATATGTGAATATTTATTACCGTTGAATCGTTTATATATATATATATATATATATATATATATATATATATATATATATATATATATATATATATGGGTGAAAGCCTGTAAGCCAATAAATAGGATCACTCGTACCTTTATTAATTTAAATTCCTTTCTGATACAACGTCACTCCATTGGTCAAAAAGAATGAATGAATTCCGTATCGTCTGTAAATCGATGCATCGATATAAGCGTTAATAAAATTATTATTTTGATATTTTTACACATCTGAGCTTTTGTTTTTCTTCTGTTTTCTTGATTTTTAAGCTTGTTGATATTTCATGCAAAATCTAAGAGCAATTGTTCTAAACAGACAACAGGGAATAGGACAAAAGCAGAAAGAAAAGAAAGCAGTTAACACTGAACGTCCATAAACACATGATTAGGCATGAAGACATTTTTAATAGGAAATTCTTTGTACATTCGGCAAATATTTGAACAAATACTGATGTTCTTCTTTGAAGCTGATTTTTCAGCGTATATCGATAATTTGTTTTTTTTAATCCACATGAATGTCCATAATTCGTGTTCAGACGTTCAAAAGCTAATTAACCAGTGTTCCTATAAATACTAATTAGAAATTCTCTCTTGGAAAGCATTTTCATTCTCTAGGAATTTTTAATAAGAACCTGCAGAGATTTTTAGCAAAATATTCTGCTACATTCAACTAAGTCTCTTGCACATCCGCCACGCGGTCCTGCCGGTGAAGTTACCCGGGGAAGTGGTAGGTGCCTGCCGGTTCGCCGTCTGTGGGGTCGTTCTTTCTAAAGGTGGTGCGGTTAATGCGATTAATGCGGTGTCGCGGCGTTCCTGTCGGCGGCGGCCAGCGGCGTTCAATTGTAAAATACTTGGAAACTGCCATCAGACAAAATAATAAGTTATATAACTCATCATATTTAAAACTGGTTCCGAATTAAAATCAAAATCATCATTTAAATATATGCTATATGTAATGAAAACAGGACAAGAGATTCTGTCTAGTAATCGTTTATTCAATTAAGAATACTACTACTCAACTGACTTGACAGCGGAAGTATACAGCTTTTATAGCTTGGATTATCTAAGAGGAGATAATCCATATTCACAACATTCTCCCCCACCAAATTTCTCACTGATAGGGAAGAAAGTCCCTTAAATGTCTAGGCTCCCTACGAGTTCGCAGTGGCCGCCTCGGCAGTCCATGATTCGTGGTCGGAGTACTCTAACAGGGAGGCTCTTCAGTGCGAGCCTGTCTGTGGGCTCTAAAATACCTTGCTCCGAAATGTTTCCTTCTCAGAGGAGCAGGCCGTTCCGCGTCAGAGTCAGTCTCTGGATGAACACGTTTATTCGGTGCTAGCCCTTCATCTGTCAGGGTTTCAGGTGTTGGACCATCCGAAGTGTTTGACGGAGCCTCAACGGAGACAGTGTCGTCAGACGGCGTGTCAGGAACAATTTCAGTGCCATGATCTTCCGGAGGGGCTTTAGTGTCAGGGGTAGTTGGTCTGTCCTCAGGGGCTATCCACGGTCCGGGCACGTCTCCGGCCGGTGCTAGGTCCCTGAGAGACACATTAGACTCTACCATCTGCATGTCGTACTAGCGCGTACTGAGGGTTCGCCTCTATAAGCTCTACCTCGTCCACCAAGGGATCGTTCTTGGTGTAACGTGCATGTCGTCTCAGAAACACAGTACCGGGTCGAGAGAGCCAAGATGGAAGCGAAGCTCCCGCCGAACTCCGTCGCTGAAAAGGTAGAAACCTTTCGTGTGGGGTGGCATTCGTGGCGGTACACAATAGGGAACGAATGGCGTATAATGCGACAGGAAGGAGATTTTCCCAATTATCAATTGAACATCCGTTATTTGAGGCAGCCAATTGAACGGTCTTCCAAATAATGCCGTTATATCTTTCGCATTGGCCGTTACCCTTAGGGTTGTAGGGAGTTGTCCGGCTTATAGATACTCCTCGTTCCTGTAGAAATTGCCGAAGCTGCTCTGACATGAAAGAAGCCCCTCGGTCCGAATGTATATAGGCAGGGGCTCCAAAGATGGCGAACAGTGAGCAGAGGCATTGTATAATTGCAGCAGCCGATATGTCTGAACAAGGGAAGGCAAAAGGAAACCGTGAATATTCGACGATAACCGTTAATATATATATGTTCCTTGTTTTACTTGGTAGCGGTCCTTTAAAATCAAACGGTTGTGTTGCAATATTTATTTGCATTTAAAATACAAAATGTGGCACAAGGCCGAAAAGGGGATGGGGGAATGACGGTCTTCATCTGTCTTAAATCTAAACTTAGCTAGTCGCAGACACTTATTTCATGCCAACAATAATCCAATCACCAAAACAACACATTCACTCCTACCTTTCTTACTACGTCCACCATAATACCTCAGTTTCTCTATGAAGTCCTAACTAGTCCCCTTATTTACAGATATTGTTCATGGGGGGAGGGTCATAAAATAACAACTTTTAAAATCCCCAAATGAATATTTACAAAGTGAATTAAATATTTACAATAAACTAAACAAAATTAAGTTAGTAATAAAACCCCCCACAAACTATGAATGTGGCAGAAATATCAGTTAACCGGACGAAATCGATGCGGGACTAAGAAAATAATGACACATTCAAACCATCAAGCATACACACAAACACTCACTCATTCATACACAACAACAAATACGAAAGCACACACCCGAAACGAAAGGCGCCCCGCATCCACCAGAAAACTGACATCACTAACCACCTAACGAGGGAGGGGATGGGGAATTAAACAAAAGAAAATAGGGACAGAAATAAAAGGGACCAATGAGCTTACATACCCTAGCTAAGTTAACCGGGGAAAAAAAAGGGAAACTAAAAATTCAAAAACGAAAACCTAGTCTAGCCTAATATCTGGGTGGCTTGCCTATGTTCAACCCTGTTAGGACAAAATTCTGTACCTGGATATTTCACCAAGCCTGCTGAACAAAGTCTTTTGCCGACCCAGAGGGCCCCACGAATCATCAGCCAGGTGAGTGATGCCTCATCGTTATTGAGACATTTCAACCCAGGCGCCCAAGGCCATATCGAGCGAGCCTCCTGCTTCGTAAGACCGAGCTCGTCGATCAGACCATCTTGAACGGACCCCTAACTAACAAACGATATAATGCCTTACGAGACAACGCTTGGGCGTCGGAGAGGCCATCCGACGTCCGCAAGAGGAGCTTCAAAGCACGACGACATTCGCGGTAGAAGGAGCACTCGACACGAGGTGTACGGCCGGCCTCCTCCTCGCACGAGTGCACACTTCTCAGGGATGGGAAATGTTTTCGGACATCTTCTTTCCAAAAGGTGCCCACCTCATCCAAACCACGACACATTCGGTCTAGAAAGGTAATGCGAAGCATATATTGACGAATCTCAATGCTAGGCATACCCAGACCGCCCTCAGAGGGATGAAGGCAACAGATCTCGCGAGATACCATATGGGACTTGCCTCTCCACAAGAAAGAGAACAAGGCCTTGACTAATGACATTAGTCGGGCATACGGGAGTGGAAGCACAGAGAGTCGGTAGAGGAGGATCGGATAGATGTGTGAAACACAAACTTCCGCCCTTCCCTTCATGGAAAGTCTCCTCCGAGACCACAGATTACCCGCGGCCTCGGCCCGCCCTTGTACCTCCGACCAATTCATTTCCAACTGGAGATCAGGACCGAACCAGACGCCGAGTATCTTGATCGGCCCATCCGTCCAGAGGAAAGGTCCGGGAAGAGAAACTCCTTCCACGCACCCAACCGCAAGCCCACAGACTTATCGCGGTTGATCTTGGCCCCTGTCACCATCTCATACCCACTGATCTGCTTGCTGACTTCGTTAATCTCGGCTCTGCTCGACACAAGAACCGAAACGTCGTCAGCATAGGCAGAATACCTGGTCGAGGTGGAAGCACCAGGCAGCGAAATTCCGCGTAGGACCGGATTCGCCTTTAACTTGCGAAGGAATGGCTCCAAGGCAAGAACGTAAAACAGAGGCGATAGCGGACAACCTTGACGAATGGAGCGAGACAATACGAAAGGCTTCGATCTTACCCCATTCACTTCCACCAGCGCACCGGGGTCGCATACAAAGAGTCGGATCCAGGAACGAAAGTCGGCTCCGAAACCGGCCGCCGAAAGGACAGCCTCCAGAAATCGATGGTCAACCCTATCGAAGGCCTTGGACTGATCTAAATTGATCAGCGCGGCTTCACTGTTGACTTGTTCTAAGATCAAGCGTACCATATGAAGGTTATCCTGAATAGTCCTGCCCTTCACAGCACAAGTCTGTTCAGGGCCAATCAGACTAGACAGGACAAGCTGCAAACGGTTGGCTAAGATCTTCGCCAAAATCTTTAAGTCAGTGTTTAACATCGTTAAAGGGCGAAAGTTCCCTAACCCATCCCCACCGTCCTTGTCCTAACGCAGCAACTTGATGACACCCCTGGTGAAGCATCCAGAGGAAAGACCCTGCCTCATCCAGTGATTGTACATCAGTTCCAGCAAAGGAACAAAACGTGCGACCCTCAAACCTAAACTTCGTAGGGAAGACCATCTAATCCGAGACTTATCCAGGCCAACCTGCTTCAGCGCTTCCCAGATTTCCGACTCTGTTATGGGACCCTTGCACCTAGCCATTTTAAGCTGCCGAGAGGCAGGGAAAGTCAGCTAAATAGGCGTCGAACTGAGCAGAGGTCAGACCGGGCTCCCAAAACGGTTGTGTTGCTTTTATTAAAACGCCAGTTTGGGGTTTATAAAACCGAGGCTTTATTTCAGCACACGTTCGACAAGAATTTGTAATTCTTTTTACCTCCTCCACTGAGAAAGGCAAGTTTCTACACCTCACAGCATGAACCATTCGAGTAATGCCCGGGTGACAGAGATTGTTATGTAGCGTTCGGAGTTCGTCCCCGCTTGATGCCGTACAGCATGCTCTTGACAGTGTATCAGCTGTTAAGTTCTCCTTGCCAGGTCGGTAGCTGACGTCAAAGGAGAAACAAGATAGCTCAATTCTCCACCTCGCTATTTTCTCATTCTTTATTTTACTCGTAGTTTTAGAGTTGAACATAAAAGCAACTGATTTTTGGTCAGTAATAAGTTTAAAGTGGCGTCCGATCAGGTAGTGTCGCCATTTTCTTAATGCCTCGACTATGGCGTAGGCTTCCTTTTCAATTGCGGGGTGTCGTCGTTCAGCCTGTGAGAGGGTCCTTGAAAAAAAGGCTACAGGACGATCAGCTTGTTTCAAAGAAGCAGCAATAGCACAGTCTGACGCATCCGTTTCAACAACCAGAGGAATATTTTGGTCTATTGTTGTAATTGCAGATTTCGCAATATCCTTTTTCAGTCCCTCGAATGCCTCAACGGCTTGATGGGACAGAGGAAACGTCTCTACTTGTGTCAATGGATGTATCTTTTCTGAGAACGAAGCAATCCATTGAGTCGAAGGGAAGGCTGGTTGTGAGGGACAGGCATCTGGAGTAAAGGTTTCAATCGATCTGCGTCCGGTGCCATAAAACCTTTGCTTATGGTATACCCCAGTAGGTTTATTTTGTCCAGTCCAAACGAGCATTTGTCGTCGTTTAGGGTAAGGTTGTATTTATCGACGGCGGACATGAACCGTCTGAGATTTTCGTCGTGTTCCTTTCTATTATGGCCACATACTGTGACGTTGTCGATGTACGCAAATGTGCCTTCCAGTTTCTCATCCGTTATGGTTTGGCCGACTATCCTTTGGAATCTGGCTACCCCATTCGTAACGCCAAAAGGAATCCTGCGAAATTGATATAGTCGACCGTTCGCCTCGAAAGCAGTGTATGGCTTGTCTCTAGGTCTAATGGCGATCTGATGGTACGCGCTTTTCAAGTCCAGAGTGCT